CTGCAGCAGACCTAACTGCTACTGGTAAAGAGGAAAAAAAATTGAAAATTACACAACGTGATGAATTCATTGAAGCAAGCATTAAATATGGATAGATATTGAGAAAGAGCGCCAATAATCGTCTTTGTGATTCCATAGAGGCGTGAAGCAATTGATAACCCAGATAGAGAGTTAAATATATGGGAAATACTGGTGCTAAATCATACCTGTTTTTTGATAAGGTGAATAATTTTATAAATGTTGGGAAAATTTCTGTATACAAGCCGTATGCCAAAAAATAGGGTATCTACATCAAAATATGATTCCCTAGGAAAGGTACCCAATCATCTATACAAATAGGATCTCATGGTACACAAAAAAGAAATCAAACACAAGAGGGTATGTTGTAGCTCATTACAATATGAGGAGGCTCAGTTAAGCAGGATGTTAGGAACTGTTCTGTGAAAAACTATAGCAAAACCTTACTATTATTTAGGTTTCTTCTCTTATGCCCTGTTCCTAAATAATATGTTCGATATCACCATTATGTATTACTCACCTATGTCCCTTTTATATGAGTTAATGAGAGATGGTGTAAGATGCTATTTGACTTCTAATATTATTTATTAGAACATGACTTTTGTAATAAGGGTGATATTAAATGTTCAAACAGTTACCCTGAAGGTAGTTTGATAAAGAAACCATCACATCTTAGTTTTAATTTGTGTGGAATAATGTCAAACATGTTTAGACGTTGCATAACAGAAAGAAGTGTCATATGAGTTTGCCAGAATAGTGCTTTCTTGGAGGGGCTGGGCTGGGGGAGGGTTGAGTTTGGAGAACAATGGGCAGTGCAAAACAGTCGTTCACTTTGCTGGTTATTATGATTGTGTACCCCTCACTCTTGCTGGGTCATCTGGGATCCTGGTAATTATGGGCTTATGGCTGAAATTTTTTGGTGGCATATCAGTATAGCAAAATATCAGAGCGGAGAATATAAGCTGCTGTTTTGTGCGTCTGTAGCACAGGTTAATAAACCATTCAGATTAACCAATGTCATCACTGTTATTGGATATTAAGTGAAGAATTGGATTCCCTCCTTGTAGCCATCATTGAGTCAGAGTAATACATGTGGAAATTGCTCTTGGGATGTGGCTTCAGGCTTATGTGTAATCTTACTGCGCCTTCTCTAACTTTGCTGATTTCAAAGAGGCAACTTCATTAGTTAACCTTGTCAGTACAGTGTTTCCTCAAAAGATAAAAGTGGGCCATTTTGTGGATCTTATATGGGATCGCTTTGTCCTATCTAAGCCATGGCAGCATGTCTATATTTATCGTCTCCCTGTTGCTTACCCTACGAAACTACCTTAATAATTAAAATAAAATTCCAAAAAGAATAGAAGGATTGAAATAGGAATATCCACATAGGCACTTGCTGTAGAATATATGGGATAGTTGCTAGTTAAGTTGCTTAGACTTTTCACATCGGTGCCGTACCGGTGTCGACAGGATGCGGGTGTGGGTATGGGACCCGTAATGGATCTGATCAATCGATTGGGTATTTTGACCAAAATTGGCCGAGATATTCGGGACATACAATGATTTCTGAAATCAAAACAAGAGTTAGGGTGAAATTGAAGAAAATGGAATACCTTGTATAGAAAAATTTCTATGTTAGTCCTTTTTCTTTTATCTCCTTGGATTTTCCTCTTGATCAATATTTTCTCCTTCTCGGAATACCTTGTAAGTTTTTCACATAATATCTCATATTTGTACATATTGGAATTATTTTTAGCCGAATTCCCGCACTCGTATGACGTATCTATTCCTGGACTCGTATCCCCGAATCGTAAGATTTAGTTTATGAAGGATCCGACCTCTAGATCCGCAGCCGTATTGGACACTCGCACCCGAGTCCAAGCAACTTAGGTTGCTAGTGAGTATTGGCATATGATATCTTTTCTAGTTTCACAAACTTCTGGACTAAGGTGTAATTCAATACTCAATATTAGATTATGAGAGGTCTTATCTTGACTAGTGTCATTCACTATGAACTCTGCAGGTTTTGGCTGCTCATAGGTATGGAATTAAACGTGTTATACTGCCAGAGAGAAACTTGAAGGATTTGGTTGAAATCCCAGCAACTGTGCTTTCAAGTCTTGAGGTAATTTGTTTGCAATAAGTACAAGTCTTTGTGGAATTTTCATGTTTTGTTTTTGTTATACATAAAAATCCTTTGTAAAGTTGACTTTTAAAAGACATCTTCTCAAAGATGAATTACAATACTTTGTTAATTTTCCATACAGATTAATTTTCTCTCAGATAGCATGTTTTAGTAACGATACATATCATTACGGGGTCATGATACTACAGATATAGTGAGCTAGGTCGAAGTGTGTTCGTGTATGTGTTTAATTGATCTTTTTGCTTAACAGATAATACTTGCTAAACGAATGGAAGACGTACTGGACCAAGCGTTTGAAGGTGGTTGCCCATGGAGACAGCACTCGAAATTATGATACTTAACAGACTTCCTTTAGCTAACAGTGAGAGACTCTGCGAACAAACAGTTCGGGCATGTAGATCAGAGGCCAGAGCTCATGCCTAAAAGGAAATGTTAACACGATTAACAGATGACGAAGATCCAATAACATACTTAACAGACATCTCTGAAAATATTTACTGTGTATTATTCTTCGCTCTTATTCAGCTCTGTATTTATAAGTGATTATTCTTTTTTTTTCTTTTGAATATTTGTCACAATTCACGCTCTGTAATAAGTTTTTATTTAATTCAGCAAGGTCAGACACTTTGCTGCTCGCTTTTCCAAGCATTCATATGTAATTTGCGACTTACTTTTTTAGTTTGTAAATGTTGGTAGATACTGAGAAAAAACTTCAAACCACTATTTGGTTTTGCTTCCTCTTTTTCTTTTGGAGAAAATAATGGTTTCCAAATATAGTTTCTCAGTAGTTAGCTTTCGACTTCACCAATTAATAGCCATACTTTATTCTCACCTTCCTTTGTTTTGCAATTTCATTAGGTAGTTGAGTGAACGATGAGCGATCGTGGGAGGGAACATGGATGCATTAAAGTGGAAGGTGGGATTAAGGCAGTTAAAATCGAGGAGCTTAAGTCATTAGGTATTATGGACCACGCTCTCTATAGCCTTCTGCAGTAGCAGACGTATATACAACGACGAACTAGTAGTGGGGTCTGGAGAATGTAGTGTGTACGTAGATCTTATCCCTACCTCGAGGGGGTAGAGAGGCTGTTTCCTCGAGACTCTCGGCTCAAGAAGACGAAAAGGAACAATATATCAGTATCATCAATAAAAATCATAGAAGAAAATAACAGCATCACAAGAATCAGAAAATAATTGAAAAGCAAAACAATAACCAGTAGATAAAACCCGGCACTAAGAAGAACGAAAGAGTAGTGAGAACTCAATCCTAACACTAGCAGTCTAAGACTAAATCCTAACAAACTAGCCTCACTCTGGCACTAGCAGACGTACATAGTAATCTATAAATCATGGTTAAATTTTTTTGAATTTTAATGATATTGTTTGAGCTGAAAGCAATAGTGTATGCCTATTTGCTTCCCAAGTAGATGGATTGGCGGAGAGACCATGCACTTGGTAAGAACTTCGTTGTAGCCAAGCTTAACGGTAGTCTATTGGCAAGAGCCAAGCTTCAACTGCGACAACTTGTTGGTTTTGGCCGACTTATTCTGTTACTCGAGATCCAAGTCAGCACTGGCAAAAATCTCTTAATTTCTCGCGGTCGGGCTACAATCTCCTCTATCCACATGACTTTTCCAAGTAAGCTCTATATTGGAAGTCTATATTCGAAAGGGCTCATCAGTCACCTCGATTCATGTATTCAGATTGGAGTATAACATATAATTAAGATGAACTTGGTACTTTGGAAATCTGGAAGTTTCCACTTCCAATTGTTGATGATGCCTTGAGAAGAAGAGTGTTCTTAAATAATGTGTATCAATGTCCGTGCAAGAACAGAAATTATACCAAAGTATTAAAAATATAATATTTTGTATTTGAACCTGTGAGCTATGAACATAATGGATAACCTCAGCCGAAAAGATTTGAGGACGAGTTTAATTGAGAATTTTGGTTGAATATGACTGCTTTGATTCATGTATTCACTTGGTTTCTTAGTTTTCTGCCTGAAGAACTAATTTTGTGTCATAAAAGCCAACAACAAAAAAAAGGAAAAATAAAAATAAAAATAAAAAATTGTGTCATAAAAGCCACAAAAAAGGAAAAAAAAGAAGAGAGGATGGAAAGCCTTTGCCTCTAGAATATCACTATCAGAGCCAGGTTTCGATCCTGGGACCTGTGGGTTATGGGCCCACCACGCTTCCGCTGCGCCACTCTGATTTTGTTGTTTGTCAACTGCTACAAATATTATATATAATATGCCTTTAGTAAATATTTTTAAATGACCGAGTAGTTTTCAGGATTGACCTAACTAGGCTCACTGTTCGAACTCCTCTAGCTTAAAAAATAAATGGACGTTCATTTATTTTGTGTTTAATTTAGATTTACCGACACTATTTGACGATTTAGTGTCTTCAACATAATTAATTTTGGGAAAATTGTTTTCTCTTTGCACTTTTCATATTGCTTCTGTTTAATCATTTTTATTCCGTCTCCTTAGGTTCAAAGTCCATTATCTTAACGTGGAGGCATTATAATCAGATCAATCTTCAATATATGGTTAAGTGCATGGGTTGAAAGTCCCCTTATGGTCTCGGACAAATCCTCATAAATTGAATTACCTACTGAGATTGAGCTATGCACAATGACCATTATCTTGTTCTAACCACATACAATATCAAACAAGAAAATTAAGAAACAAAGGTAAGTCAGTGTGTTCAATCTAATCTCACCAAATCTAAAATATGGTGTAAGAAATATTTTCACNAAAAAAAAACTCCCACCAAAAGGAGATATTTTAGAGATCTTTGATCAGATTTGCACCATTTTACAAGCAGAATTAAGGAGAACAAAATTGCATTACGTTTCACTATTTTTAGGAGTAACATTAAGTTGAAAAAAGAAATACTTGCTCCTAATCCATCTGTGCTCTCTCAAAATTATCTGTAAATCACCTATACATTCTCCTCTACTAGGAGAAAAAACTCAATGAAAAATTCCACTTTCTAAACCTATCATCTTTGTTCTCTTCAAACACTAATTACATCAAAGAACACTGCACATGTATACCAATGCTTTTGTACTGATTTGGACATATATACAGGTCAAAATTCCAAGAAGTGCCATGCCAAAAATTTGCACAATTTCTCCATCCTATCCAACGTATTATATTCTTCATGTCAAGAAGCAGCTTCATAGGCCCAAAATGTATCAGGATCCGGACTGAAGAGAGAAAAATCTTGAACTTCTAAATTTGCTATATGCCAATCAACAAATCGAGCTTGAACCGACTTAAATAGCAGCAGGATTGTAGGAAAAAGCCACCATTTGTCATCTTCCCTGACAATACAAAATGCTCAAACTTGTTCATACATTTGCTAACTAGTTTTAGAATGCCGTTGTAGTTGATAAATATAGCTGAAAATGGACTACAAGTGAATATATTGATTTCAGCTGTGTTTTTCTGCCACTATTCCACGTCAGACACTGATGTTTAACCATGTTATATGAAACGACTGCACTTTCATTCTTATAAGCTCTCACTGGTTCTCATTTGGGAACTATGATACAAATATTCCTCGCTTTAGATTCATTTTTTATCTCCCACGCATTGACTGGATGAGGTGAGAAGTGAGACAAGTTTTGGATATAGTAATATCAAAATTCTCACCTTTTCAAACCCCACATGCTAGCCTCATCAGGGGGCTTCAATGCAGAAATTCCATAGTGGATTAAACCACATATAAAGGCAACAGCCTGCAGGAAGTCAAAAGAGATTCTGTCAAACAAGTAAAATAAGTTCCAGATCTGATCACCGGGACTCCTGTGCGTCAGCATCTACAATCAGCCTATCATTTCGGTCTAAATCATATGTATTCATCCTCCAAGTTCGAAATTACTTCATTCTTGATTCAACTACTTTTCTCATTCTAGAATTGGACGCCTTCATAAAGTTTCAACGAAAAGAAAAAAAATTGTTTTTAATTTTTTTTTGCCCCTTACATGGAAGCAGATAACCATTGTTCTTTCACTTCAATTTTACACGTGCCTTCACAAGCCTTTTCAGTTCCTAGCTTATAATTTCCGGGGGGAAGAATAAGGATGAAAAGCATGAAAAGCAGATATTTACTTCCGAAAGACATCTTGTTTGGCGCTCTTAACCTCTCTAAACTTTAAACCAGAAATCAAGGTCACCTTTTTCTAGGGGCGTATGCAGGATTTTGGATAACCGGTGTCACAATTTAAAAACTGAACCAATGAAAATTTACTATAATAAGATCATCTTAATAAAACACATCAACTACATTAATGTAATTGTTTTCGAAGATACAAGCGAATCACAAGAAAAAAATATATAGCGAACAATTTTTCATATTATTATTATTAACTTTTTCTAAAATGCTCTTTACTAAGCCACGTTTGTATGGTTTTATTTAATACATATTTTTCTGAATTTCACTGAATAAACTTTGCTGAATAGTTGGGGCTTTGCTTAGTGTCAGTTTGAACTTGGAACCATTAAGAGGGCAAGGATATTATGTGACCACTGGCTGTTTGGTAATTTTAGTGGAAATTTCAAGCAACACGGTGTCGGATGACACACTTGCATGAATGTAAGTCCGCCCCTGCCTTTTTCTTGATGCTTAATGGAGGCAACTCCAGTGAATGTATCAAAATTAAGCTCTTTTCAGTCTATTTAAATGAGGAAATGCTATATGAAGATAATTAACTCACATAACAATGAAGTTTCGATCTTGGTAATCCAAGAAACCATTTGAGTAGCAAATGACAGGAAAATTGACCATTCTTTTTCAGTCAATCATTCAATAAGCAACATCTCAAACACAAACTAGTTGGAGTCAGCTATGTGAATTCTATCCATTCCACTCTATTCTGGTCTATTTTATCCAATACTAAATAATTAGTCTTCTAAGAAAAATAAGGTGTTAATTAAAACTAGAGGTTCTTAAATTACAATTAACCATAAACAGACATATATGTCATGACCCGCCACACCATCATGCCACATAGGTGCCACTTGGCATATATTTTTGCTATATGGAAGGGTTACATAAGTTAGGGAAAAGATCTTGGTGGAATATTCTAGAACTATGGAGAATTTCTTTAGAAAAGTTCTAGATATTTATGCATTTGTAGGAAGGTTCTAGAGAAATATAGAGGTTTCCTTAGGAAGACCTAGAACCCTATAGAATTGTTAGAAAGTCCTTAGAAGAATCTAGCTGTGTAGAATATTCTAGAGAAGGGACTTAGTTGTAAATATGGAAGGACTTGTAGAATAATTATTATTTACATATTAGCCCCTAGGTGATTAGTATAAATAGGGGGCATTCATTTGTAATTCATCAACCAAGCAAAACAATCAAGTTCTCTCTGCTACAAAAGCTTCCTTTAGCAATTCTCATGTGTTCTAACATTTCTTAGCGATCTTGAGTGTAGTAAGGCTGACTTGGCATAGCAAGAACGTGAGCAAGTTGTGCAAGATCGTGAGCGAGTTGCCAAGTGCCGCACATGTACTTAGTTAATAACTAAGGACGTGACATATAAGTCTATAAAAAAACTAAAAACACTCCTAATAAATACCGGACCTAGTGTACATAGTGTACACTAGAGGTTCTTAAATTACAATTAACCATAAACAGACATATAAGTCCATAGAAAAACTAAAAACACTCCTAATAAATACCGGACCTAGTGTATATAGTGTACATGTAACACCTTATTGCAACAGCTCTCTCCGTGTGAGTTTAGTCTACCTCATTTCATTAGCACCTTCAGTTGTCATAGTATTGCACCTAAGGACTAGTTTCCATTGGAGGCTGCGAACGACATGATCAACTTATGTTTTTTGATAAGGGACACGATTGACTTATATTTTTCGATAAGGGACATGATCAACTTATCTCAAGTAACCTTGTTTAGTTTTATCCTCTATGGGTGCTACTTGTACCATCTTTTGGATGTGATTTTTTGGGGTTATTGTGTACAAGAAGCCTAATAGTGACACTTTGCTCCCTTACTAACTCGAACCTCCAACCACTAGGTATAAAACCAAGCTAGTTCTTTGTCGCCCTTATATTGTCTTTATGTTCATAATATAGTCAGCTTTCCCAATGTACTCACATATGACTGACAAAGTTTAATACCATGACAATTAGAATATCTATTCTTATATATCATAACCAAGGCATTCTCTCTCCACTTGTTCAGCATCTTTCGTCTCATTGATATAAATAACATAGAAAGCTACTTGGTCAGCCATCTATTCTGACCTATCCGAAGTACGTACTTCTAAAACTTGACAACACGATGTTCCAACACATACATTTCATGACATCCGTTACTTAAAAAGGCCTAATCTACAAGTATAGTTGAGGTTTCTCTTTGTTAGTATGTAAGAGGATTTGTAGATTTATCTTGTGACTGTGATGAACAATCAATAAACATAGCATCTACATCTCTTTTTTGATCTCACTATGTGTTGTCAAAACTTAATGGGACTCATCTTTAATAAGTTTAACTTAGTTCAAGTCTTAGTCCAGAAGTTTTTGCCCACCCAATGTTAATTTTTGCCAGAAGTTCTAGAACAGTTCTATTGTAGAATGACATCATCATGTCATCAGATAGTATCATTATATGACATCTCAGTTAAATTACGGATGAAGTCAATCCATGCAAAATTTGATAATGAAGCATGCAATGTGTAATGCATCCATAGAGAAACTTACAACATTAGACAATGAGGTAGCATTCCATAGTGCGTATACTCGAGCAAGACTAGCTCTCTTTGGACCTTTGCTGAACAAGGCATTCAAACCGGCTGGAAAAGGCGAAAGCAAAGATAGAGGAAGGACAAGCAGTACAGCTAGAAAAGTCCCAAGAGATACCCAGTAGAATAAAACTAAAGTAAGAAGGGTAANTTGCAAAGATTTTAGTACAGAGGAAGCTTCTACAGTAATCAACAGGAAAAAAAGAGCAATATTCAGGGTCTCATCAAGACTACCTAGAGAAGTCATCACAGCTTTCTGAGACTTCAGATTGTGGGAGATCATAGAGAGAATGATCACCAGCCAGCACCAAAATACCCAATTGGTAGTACCCGCTAGCGGTTGCTTGGAACCACCCAAGCTCGATCTTAACACCATGAAACTCAAGCTGGGGGTTTCCATGACTTCTAACCCAATTCAAGACAGGTAGGAGCGCAGAGCGGATTGACCCATGCCTCACAGTTCTCAACTGGGCATTCAAACCAGCTACCAGCCGATTCCAAACAGTTGAAGGTACATGCTGGAAACAAATAAGATCCCTTGTCTTAACAATCAAGAAACCAGATTGTGGCAACTGCTAATACAAAATCAACGCACAAGAATGTCAACAGACCTGAGCAAGGAGATTTGTCAATAATGTGTCGCTGTGAAGATTATATGGTGACATGTAACTTCCATCACCACCGAAGATAATGCACATGGGGAATCTCTTCTGTATACTTGCTACTATGTCTAAACGTTTCTCATCACCACCAAGGAAGAAATCAATATAAGCAACCATCAAGTCAGGTGTTGCTCCAACCTGTAACACTCATTAAATCATGCAACATAATTTGCAGCTAAAATGCAAATCCTGTCCACCAAATTGGGAGGACTGAGGTTTCCATGACATAGCACATCTACAAGTATTATATCAACAGATCTTTATTTCATGCTAAGTTCTGTGAAAAACTAAAACTTGATTATCTGAATTAGATGCTCCAAGAAGTCCTACAACCTACTTCCTGTAAAGTATTAACATGATGGAGGTTTAAAGCCACAAACAAATGGATGCTTCAAATCTACCATATCCAGTATACTCTCCCACCCCGTCCAGTTCCTTATCCTTTTTTTTTAAATTTAGAGGGCTGGGGGCCTTAACCTCTTACTAAAAAAAGTTCGCATTTTGTCCAAAACACAAGATGCAATAAGAATCTGATACTTCGCACAGAGACTTGAGAAGCACGAGAAAACATTCTTAAAGAGAATGCAAAGAAAACCAAAATCCACCACATCAAACTTGAGATAATCGCAATAAAGGCTACTAAAGAAATAAAGTTAACAGACAAACCTTCATTCCTTTGTATAAAGCACGTGAACGGCAGGACCGTAAACAAGAATGATCATATTCTGACTTAACATACTCCTGAAGGCGATGAATTTTGCTTCTCCTCCGCCATTGTTTCCAAGACCATGCGCAAGGATATGCAACGACAGAAAGTATGCTATGCACTGAACCCTCCCACCAATCATATGCAGCAACTGAATTGATCTCATCTATGAATCTGTTAAAAGCATCTTCATACCTGTAATTTCATGTCAATAAAGAAATGTTGAGTTAGTGACGGGGAGCTATTGAGTATTCCCTAACTGATATGGCTAGCTAACAAGTCAAAATACTCTCAGAGCATCAGAATAAAGTTCATCTTACGAGAAATATATGTATCTGTTCAAGTGATATACTAAGTATGTTGAGTGATCATTGATTGATACCTATAATGGGAATATGGCCTAATAGGAGTTTCATGTTTACTATTATTCTGAATCAAGTACATATTAATTCTTACACAATCTCAATAATGGCATCAGGGGGTGAGTAAGGAAGATGCCAGGGTCCACGGAAGGTATTGGGGCCCATAAAATACATCCTGTGGACATGACTCTGAGTTTCGTCTGTTCTAGCACCTCGGACCTTGAAATTAAAAAAAAATTAGAAGATGAAGAACATTACCAAGAGAACATACAACTTTTGAGATTTTGACAAAAGATAAAAGAACATACAAATGCTCCGAGTTTTGTACCTCGGACAAGGATAGGAGATGAGGGAAATGGTGATGACTGTGATGGTCCATTGAATTTGAAGTGTTATAAGAACTCCTTGATCCTACTAGTTTGATTCGCAAAGTACTTAATAAAAGAGCCAGCAGCACAACGATGCACGACAGCAACAGTGAAAAAGGCCATGGGCCTCCAAATGTGTATATGAGCTCCTCCAAAGGTGTATAGCAGTTTGGCATCCTATACTTATCAGTGATACATTTATAGGGGCAAGGTGATTCAGTTACTCCTCCTGCAGCAGCAGTTGAGCCCGTTAATCGACTTCAATACAGCATACTCTCAAAAGATTTGAGAAAGCAAACAACATCTTATCGAGTAACCATTCAAAAAAAGAAACTGAAGAAGACAACACCATTACCTCGCCTATGAATGAAATAAGCACGTCTAGGAAGGAGCTCCATGGAACAGGGAATACACAGGGAAGGGTCTGATCCTTCAGCATCTTTGTATGTTCCAGTAGGGCATTCCTGATTAAATTTAATGGGGATGATAGCTATAATCACAATTGACCGGATGGAAAATATCTAATTTTCATAGGGGATACTAATGTAATAATCGCAACAATATTATGACAACAGATTGCTACTGAGAACTATAAGATAAAGCTGAATAATGATAACACTTCACAGTTGCACTTGGTCCAATCTACACTTTACAAGCTGCAGGATTCCAACCTCTTTAAGGCACTAACATGTCCAGAGAGAAACATTTTGTAGATTAGGGGCCTTCATCAACTGAACTTAAGAGAGAAGATCGACGAAGGCTTTGGATTTCCTCCTAAAGGAAAGGTCGAAAAGGACTATAAGCCAAGTCATAAATTCATGGTCAAGCGCTTCAAGATCATGAGTAATGCCAAAACATTCTTCACTGGCCAAACAAGATCTATATCCTCAGGAGAAATATAATAGGGTAAGGCACAATTCTTGGCAGGAATTTCGCCGCATCCAATCCCCAATTCTTGTTCACCCCGGATGATCGTGTTCGGTGAATTGTGACTTTGTAGGATCGTGTCGGGTGAGCAACAGCCGCTTCGTCACAGTACTTACTTATGGGCTAACAGGTCACACTTGGTTCATCTACCGATCAATTAATTTCTTAAGAGTAAAAATTGTAAGTAAGCAACAGATAGGGTAAAAGGTATTGATTAAAAAATATAGGGTAAAGCAATAACAAAACAACGTAGTAGGAAAATTACCGTACAGAATGTACCATACAAGCCCTTAGGACACTTCCTTCCAGTTACTGTGCCTTTCTCTCCACGAAGACCACCACCATCACCGGTACCTCCACTGTAATAAATTGAGAAATACACCAGTTTAATGCCAACAGACTATTTACTGATGCAAAATCTGTAAACTTATCATACGCAGCTTTTTAAATCATAACATCACTTTTCTTTTGATCGGTTGATCATAACATTATATAAAAACCAGTTAAAATTGGAGGACACTGTAGCAGGAAAGAGCATTTGGCTGATCAGGACAGCCAGAAAAACCTATCACCAGGTAGTATCAACATCTTCCACCGTTAGAAAAATGAGTAGTCAGGTATACTGTAAAAGGAGTTGCATTACTCCCTCTGTCCTACTTTATGTGGCACAGTTAATATTTGGAGAATCAAAGGAATTTTCTTTGACCGCAATTTTTTCATTTACCTTTTGAATGATTTGGATTATTAATTATTGTGACTCATAGTAATTTTACGTAGTTTCTAAAGATATAAATTTTATTTCAAAAAGTTGAAGATTCTACATCCAACTTTACACCGAAAACTAGATAGTTTGACCCTCGTACTCTGAATCGTGTCACATAAAGCGGGAGAGAGGGAGTAATACTCAAGACACATCTCTTTTCTTGGCTGGTTTAAAACTCACCTCTCTTATATTCATTAAGATAGCTCTTTTGACAAAATCATGCTACTTATTGAAGAATGTATACTCACCTCTACTACATGCATACTCAAAAGAAAAAGGAAAAGCTAAGGAAACGGAACATCCGGCAAATAATTCACGTGAAGACTAAAGAACTTAAGAAATACAAACTGTAAATTGCACAAGTACCATGAACACAACCTACCTATGGTCAATGGTTCCATTTACAGTTGCAAGAGGGACATACTCCTCACCCATGTTTATCTTAGACCAATGAAAATGAACTCTGCCACCACCACCACCTCCTCCACCCAGTGGGCCACCACAGCCTCCAACAACTGATAAAGCTGAGTTGTCCATAAGGGAAAGAGCTTGAAGAAAAAGTAGAATTGTTCCTCCAGAACCACCACCAACTCCACCAGCAAGAGTACCATTACTGTTTCTGCTTGGGGTACGACAACTTTGGCCATCAGCCCTCATGGTTCCGTAAACATCAAGTTTGAAAAGAGGCCACTGGCTGGATCCCAACACTGGCAAAGACGAAAATAACACTCAAAAAATAAGCTTGTGAATAACAGACCATACACATCTCAGTCATTTCTGAGAACTTTATACACATTTGTGCATTATTACTTTTTATTAGTCTCCATTAACAAACTATTAAAAAAGAAAACATACACTTGGCAACATTATATAAGTGAATATGCAGGGAGTACTAGAGAAAATGGTGCTAAACCCTGTGATTCCCCCCGGTATCAACCAGCCTAGGCAAGAACTTGATTAGGTAGTAACGTGAACTGCTAATTACTCTTAGAATGGAGGATTAACTGTCCATTCTTACCCTTTCTTTTCTATCTAATCTATTGTTGGGACCATAAGTCTACATGCTTTTTTTAACCAACTAAAACAGATAGAGAGAAGAGATGGAGTCTGCAGACAACAAATTTAGCAAATGTTTGTTGTATTTGAACTTGAAATACAAACTTAGAAAGCAATTAGAAGTTGAAATATATTATTGGGAACCCATTCTTCGAAAACAGTCCAAGAAGGATTCATGCTGGAATCTGACTACATTGTCTCACTGTTAAGAGCCCCAAGTTCAGAATATGACATTGGGATGACTTCTATAGAATCACCATCTTAGACATCGCATAATCAGCCAAGGAAGACACCAACCACACCACATAACTAGTATGGAAACCCATATACATTAAAAAAGAAGTTTAAAAGTCCCATAACACTAGCATGCGAAGAACTTATTTTCTTGATTGAAGAGGAAAAAGACAAGTGGAGGAGTACTTAATACCGATTAATCTGCAAAGGATAATGTGGGATTTGCGGAGTAAAACTATTTTTTAACTATACATTAATTTCTCATTGCATTCTATTTTAGTCGTCGATCTCAACCAGATATTTGACGCATTCCACCACATTGGGTTCTTCAAATAGATTACTGATAAGTGATAGCTAACCTACTCTCCACCCCAGCACTTATAACCCAAAAAAAATTAAGCAGGAATTCTGGAGTCCACTATCTAAGCATCATAATTCAATTTCGCTGCACATGACCTAGCAGATAAACAGTAAACTAGTGGTTCAGAAACCAAGAAAAAGTGAACAAAAAAGGAATTTGTTAATTTGATGGAAAAAAATGTAGAAGAATGTGCTGATATACCAGCGTCCATAAAGCATAAGATAAGCTTAGTAATAAGTAAAATATGTTACCAATTATCCCCCCTCCAATAACAGGTC